GCCCACGGGCTTCAAGGCCCAGCTGCAATTCTTGCTGAAAGCCTCACATCTTTTCTCTGTCAGACAACAGTCACGGGAATGTCCTGTGCCATCTTCCTTCTGCAAGAGAGGTTGGCAGAGAGCAGCAGATGCCCAGAATCAGGGTCATGTGCCACTCAAGTGCCGAGCTGGAAAAAAGACCCTCTTTCCCTGCTTCTTGTGACCAGGCTGGAAAGGTCTCAATGAGGAAGGCTTTGTCAGAATAGCTTTGTGACTAGAGGGTGCAGTTAGCAAACTGATGGATGAAAGGCCGTGTCAGAGGGGCCCCTGGGAATGTGTACTTGCCCCTGTGTGCTCCATGTTTGTTAGTTACAGTCATTTTACAGTAGTTCGAATGTTCCCATTAAAAATGAGTCAAAACCTAGTATGGCAGTTCATGCTTGTTATTCCAGCTGCTTGGGAGGGAGAGGCAGAATGATCCACACATTCAAGTTCAGCCTGGGCAACTTGGTGAGACTGTGTCTCAGAAATAAAATAGAAGTCAAGGAACAAGGTGTGGTGGTGGTGCTTGCCTAGAATCCCAGCACTTGGAAGGCTGAGGCAGGAAGATTTTGAGTTTAAGGCTAGTCTGGCTATATAAGTTGAAGGCTGGCTGCAACTGCATAATAAGACCTTGGCTCCAGAAAAAAGCAGGGGGTGGGCCTGAAGATGAGGCATGCTCAGAAATCATGAGGGTTTTTTGGGGTTTTTTTGTTTTTTTTTTTTAAATCATTAGTTGTTTTTGGAGAGGAGAATATTTAACTGAGACTAGAATCTAAATGAGAAGACTTGTATTACTCTAAATTAGCAGGTTGTAAGTTAAGAAATCCAAATTAAAGTGATTTTTTAAAAAACTGAATGTCCTATGTGATATCTCCATTCCCAGGGTAGGAAGTAATATAGCATAGAGATTAAGAGCATGGTAATTTTTTTGTCCTACTGCACTGTAAGGGCCCCCTCCCTTTTTTTTTTTTTTTTTTTTTTTTTTGTGAGCCCCTTCTAAGTGTTAGTTTTTCCAGCTCTTAAATTGAGGGGTGGTAGCAATTGAACCTACTAATTCTGTCCTATTTTATTTTTACATAATAGAGTTTACTTTTAGTGTGTGTGTGTGTGTGTGTGTGTGTGTGTGTGTTTTAACCTAATTGTTGCCTGAAAAGTCTCTAAAGACTGCCTAAATATAATCTTAGACCCCGTGTGGTATTATACACCTATAATCCAAGTACTCAGGAAGGTGAGGCAAGAGAATCATTGCAAGTTTGAGGCCAATTTGGGCTATAAAGCGAGTTCAAGACCAGCCTAAACTGCATAGTGAGGTCCTACCTCAAAAAGACCAAAAAAAACCATAGTAGCTGAGTAATTATATTTTGTCAACTTAACATATAGCCACCTATTACCAAATGCAAGATTGTCTCTGGGTTTTCGTGGTTTGAGTACAGGGCTGTACACATATGTGCTTGATCTAGCCCTTTCCTAATGGTCCTCACTGCCCCAGATCCACTATAATTTGGATTTCTTACCTCACAATCTGCTAATTTAGAATAATACAACTCTCCTCATTCAGATTCTAGTCTCAGTTAAATATCCTACTCCTCTCCAAAAAAAATATCTAATAATTTTTTTTAAAACACCTAGTGAGTGCTCATGCTCCTGTCAGCTCTAGATGAGAGGGACCCTCTGCTTTCTTGCTTGAGTAATCTTAGTCTTTAATTTGGTAGGCAAAAAATGGCTTCATATTTTGAGATCATTTCTGAGAATTAGCTCTCTCCTTTCCCCATCAACAGCTTTCATCTGTCTACCTCAGAACTTTGTCAGAAGAGACTGAGAGGCAGATGCTGAGAATAGGGTCGCTCCCGACATGGTCATCATTGAAGCCTTGTTGGAGGGCCGGAAGGGTGATGTGTTAGCTTTCTGTCACCAAAATAGATAACTGAGACAGTCAGCCTAAAGGGAGGAAGGGTTTGTTCTGCCTCAAAGTGTTGAACGTTTCCATCTGTCTGCTTTTGGACTTGTTGTGGGGCAGCACGTCATGATGGGAGTGTGTGACTGAGTAAGATGGGCTGCCTCATAGGAAGCAAAAGAATGCAAGAGGTGGGGACGGGAAACCCACATTCCCCTTCAAGGGTACACTTTTTTTTTCCTTCTTTTTTTTGGGGGGGGTATTGGGATTGAACTCATGACCTCATGCTTGCCAGGCAGGTGCTTATGCCACTGAGCACTCTTGGTGACCTAAAGATTCCTAGTAGTGCCATGCTTGAGCGTCAACTCATGGGCTTTTGGACTACTACACATACCTGAAACAGTTGGGTGGGACTTGAAGTTCAAAAAGGGATATCTTTTGGAATGGTCTTTCAGGGAAGGCCTCTCTGGAGAAAGATATCTAAGTTCTGTGGGTGGCCCTGGTGGCAGACAGGCTTCTGAGCCTGCACTCTGCAGAGTACATGCTCCACATGTGAAAACAGGGTCTGGAACTCTGTGGTTACTTGTGGGTCCTAGCACAGGGGTGAGAGCAGATGCTCAGGAAATGTGTCTGAGATGGATGAATAAATACACGCACACAGACTTCTGTTCCTAGGTTAGAGAGGAATACTGGAAGTAGACATAGGCGACAGCGGGAGCTAAACTGAGCAGGTGGCCAGTTGCTGTAGTGGTGAGGGGCCGAGGGAGACAGTTACAGAAGTTTTCATGATGGCCCTGCCTTCCGCAGTCCACCTGTGTCCACCTCTGATTTTCACCCATGGTTGTCCCTTGCCTTTGGCCCTCAGATGCAACCTTGAAAGTAAGGCTTCCTTCTTACTCCCTCTTGGAGCTTATAGAGTATACTCTATCTTTTTCTTCCTAAACATTCTGTGTTGAGCATGTTCATAAACACTTGATAAGAAGCAGAACCTTTTCGATTCCCGGTACCAAAAAGAAGAAACAGAACCCTTCTGAGTATCTTGAAAACTAATCACTTAGTGGAAAACCAGACCTAATTTGATTGGATTTGTGAGGTTATTCCTGTGTCACTTTATTGTCAACACCCCTACCTTCTTTTTTTTGTTTGTCTTTTTCCTTTTTATCGTACCCCTACCTTCTTTACCTTAGTTCCCCAGCTGTGGAGACATCCTGCCTAACAGATCTGTTAATGTGCCTGCTCCAGGAGAACCCTGCTTTGGGTCCCTTCCACCCCTTGCACTCAGGTCAAATGCAGAGAGCCGCTCTGCGAATTGAGATCGGGAGATGGTCCAGGGTGAGTCAGTAGCTCACAGTTGACAACTTGGGGTACAGCTTAGTGGTGCAGCACTTGCCTGTCATGCAAGGCCCTAGTTTCAGTGCCCAGCACTGAAGGAAAGAAAAACACCCTCGCAGTTGAATCAGCAGTGATACGGTAAATGAGTGATTAGAGCATGAGCGGTCTTGCGGTGCCATGGTCACCGGAACAGGTGTTTTGGCTTTGCTAGAGGGTGTGCGAGGTGGGTTTGTGCACAGTGGCTGTCAGAATAGAAATCTCACCCTGCACCATCGTAGGTGCTTTATGGATCTAACCTATAAATCCTATCAGCTTAATGTTCTCACTATTCCTGGTGGAGGGGGAGGTACTAAAGATTGAACCTAGAGCTTTTCCATCTCCAGCTCTTTTTAAATTTTGACTGAGGGTCTCACTATGTTGCCCGGCTAAGCTCAAACCTGAGGTCCTCCTGCCTCAGTCTCCTGGAGTGCTGGAATTGTAGGTATATGTCACCATGACCAGCTAGGGAGTTCCATTTTCTGGAGGAGGCTCAAGGATGTTGTCATTTGCACAAGGTCACGGTTAGTGGAAAAATAAGGACTAGCCCAGCAGTCTGGCTCCTCCAGAACTACATCTTCCTTGGTACACTGAACCCATCATCTTGAAAGTGCTCGAGGCTTGAGACAGCCCTTGCAAAGAACAGGTCCTAAAGAGCAGCAGTATAAACTAACCAAGGGCAGTCGTGTGCATGTGGGCTGTGGGGCCTCTGCCAGCGCAGGGAGCCTGGCTGCTTAGGGAGAGCAGCCTCCTTTCAGGTTGTGTTAGAGCTCCTTTTCCACTTGGCATATTTGATGTCTCCTTTGAGTTTTAATGGACAGCCTCGTGCATTGTCTGAAAAGGACAGGGCATCATTTTGCTCTCCCCTGCCCAGCTCAGAACCTGGTACAAAGTCATCACTGATTGTCTATTTCCTAGGTGAATGCGTGGCTCTGTCAGAACTAGAACTTTGTCCTGGAAAATAGCTTATTGGCTAAGCGAATAACTGTGTTTTACGTTTTCCTGAATGTGTGTGCTCCTGTGAGGAGTGGATTTCCAGACTATCCTCAGAGGTATCAAGTCCTCACAAATGAGCTAGCTGAGGAGCAGACTACATTAATTTGGGGGAACCAGAAGGATTGGGACCGAGGTGTCTCACCAGAACAACAGCAGGCGTCAGAAATGAGGTTTTGATGCACGTTTGGCTTCTCCTCCTCACTTGAGCCAGTTTTGGAGACAGCGATTGTGTTGGGGGCTAATTTGTGGCACTGACTTTATTATCCTCCTATTAAAATACTTGGCTTTCTTTGGTGACCTTGGATTTTTTTTTTTCCTCATTTTGGTTATTACATTAAATATAGTCAGATATTTGATTATTTTTATTTTGTGTGGGGATCAAAGCTGGGGCCTTGATTATGCAAGGAAAGCTGTCTGCCATTGACATACATCTCTGGCCCCTAAAATTACAATATTTGAATGTGGTAAATTTAAATCCAGCCTGGGCAATTTAGCAACTTCACATGAAGTTGTCTTAAAATGATCAACAAAGGAAAAGGGGTAGGGATGTAGCTCAGTAGTAGAGTCCTTGCCTAGCATGTGTGAGGAGTCCCTAGGTTCAATCCCTAGTGTTGGAAAAAATTGCTATCCACAATCTTTGAAGCGTTAATTTGATATTCTGTATTTAGATTAAATTTCAGTGTGTTAAGTACTTTAGAGATAGGACATTTGTACAGTTTTGCTTTAAATCCGTGGAGAGCTGCTTGTTCTCTGGCTTCCAGAGTTTGCCTTTTCCACTACTTGGGCAAGTCCTGAGCTTCAGCAGAGACAGCAGCCCGTCATGTGCAGCAGTGGATGTCATCCCCCTGGACTTCAGCAGCCTGAGTTAATTAAAAGGTTCAGATGAAGTTAATCAAGTTTGGAACGCTAATTTTGTGCAGTGTTTTGATACAATTCAATGAGTCATCTTTTGGCAGAGGGCTCTGCATCCCTGGCTGTTTGATCTTAACGGACCGGCTTTATAATCTGTGAACTGGTAGGGAGGTGCTCTTCAGAAGTGCAGAGTCAACAGCAGTGTGCGCGCGTCTGGCTATTTGGGAGCGGTGAAAACAGAACAAAGAGGAGAATTTAATAAGCAAGAATTCGTCATGGGCGAGGGTCAGTCCAGAGGCTGCTGCCTTTCTAGAACACAGGCTTCTCCCTGCCCCCTCCACCCTTCTAACTGGAGTGCTGACATTTAAAAAAGAGGGGGAAAGACAGCTTCTGTTTGCCTTACTGAAATAAGTGACCCAGCTGACCGGTGCCCTGGCCAGTAGCCCCAAGAATACTTCAGATGTGGTCATTGAGCTATGTGGCTGGTGCCAGCCTGCCGGTCCTCAGCCAAGCGCACTGCACTGGAGCAGGCCAGGTGCCCGGAGAAGTCTGGGGCCAGCTGTGCAGCCACCTTCCTGCTGCTCAAGGATGAAACCACTATTTCTCTTGGATGAAACCACTTTTGCTCTCTGAAGACTGATGGGCAGAGTTTACTTCATATCTCTGCCTGCACTGCCTGTTCTCTGAGTGCATAGTCCCAATGAATGCACCCATTGTAAGAATTCGTGCCCCATCTGGAAAGTGCATCTGACAAAAATGTGGTCAGTTTGGGGCCTTTTCGGGATGGGGACAGAGAGCCAGACCACTTGGCCTCTGTGTTCCTGCACGGGCCCGCCATTTTCCTGTATCGCATTACAGGTTAGAAGTCAGTCCTGAGTTTACTTTCCTGCCTTGCTACTCCACGATTGCTACTCCACTGAGTGAACAGCCACTCAGTGTCTGAATCTGTGCTCCCTCTACCGTAGAGGGGTAGTGGGACTGATTGGCCTCAGCAGGCTGTTGTGAAGAAGAACTGAGCATCCATACACGCCTTGTATTCGGCATGGTGCCCGGCACGTAGTGGGCATTCTGACACTCTGGACTCTACTGCCAGAGCTGTACTTTCCAACCGTAAGATGAAAGTTCTGTGGTAAAGGCAGAAAATAATTATCCGTATTTCTTGGTCCCTTGTGGCAGTTGTGATTTCTGTCTCTGTGACAGGGAAATGAGAGGCTCGTGCAGGAGCTGCTGACATAGCATTTCTGCTACTGTCCTCAGCCTAGCAACTTGTAAGCAAATAGCCTTACTTGGTTGTGCCAAGCCGCTAGGCCTTGGGTTGCATGGTACAAGCAGCCTACACTTATTCTCCCGCCGAGAGTCCACACAGTCCAAATGGATCATCCTCAGGGGCTGGAGCTACCAACTCAGTGGCACAGCACCTGCCTGACAAGTGTGGGTTTGTGAGTTCAAGTCCCAGTACCAAAAGAACCTCAGAAAACAAAACAGAAAACTCAGTACCAAATGAAGCATCCTCTGCTGTGGCTAGACTGAAACAGATTTCCAGATTTCGTTGTTTTTGCAAGATGCTCTGGAAGGAGGCTTGCGCCAAAACAGAGAGCAGCTGCCACTCCCACAGTCTTTGTCCATCAGTCCTCAGATGCTTGCCGGAGTGCATTTCCCACAGATCAGGACATCAGCCCTGTATTTATGAGTTAGAGGTTCTATTTAGGTGATGACACCTCGAGTCAGCACCCAAATTGTCATTAGCTTGAGTTGTTTGCCAAGAGGACAGGTGGCACAAGGACTTCGTAAGTTGTATCTCTGAAAGAGAAAGATTCCCAGACAGCAGACAGGATTGAGAATGAACAGATATCCTGGAGTGTTAGGGATGCAGAATCATTCATGGGGCATGAGCAAGTTACTAGACCTAGGGCTTCCCCAAGCATTGGCATTGAGGAAAATGCAGCCCGGTAGATTGTGGCTTCTTTTACTGAGGCCTCTGGTTGCTTTGTGAGTTCTGTGCTGTGATTTGTTCTGATGACCATCACTTTAGATGCAAGAGAACCATTTCTCTCACCATTGTCCTACACATGAGTCTGCCTGCCAGATGTGTGCTTAGGCGAGGCAGGCTAGGTAGATGATGAGTCTGAGCCTTTTGCAGAACAGTTGTCAACCCTGGCCGCTCATTGCTGAAAAGTCTCACTGTGGTTCAGGGTGGCCCTGGGCTCACTTTGTAGCCCTGGCTGGTCTCCAGCTTGCAACGATCCTCCTGCCTCAGCCTCGCAAGTACTCAGATTGCAGGCATGTATAATCATACCAGCCAAATGCTTGGACTTTTAAAAATCCACATAGCAGGGCTGGAGATTTAGTTCCGTGGCTTAAGTACCTGTCTGGCAAGCTGGCAAGCACAAGGTCATGAGTTCAATCCCCAGCACCAAAAAAAAAATCCACATAGCAACTTCAGATTGCTCAAGTTTCAGCCTACCTTAGTTTTTAGGGAAGAATCACTGTACTAATTGTGTAATTTGAGTTAGTTCACTTTTTCCATCAGTAGATGCTAGTGAGACTTCAATGAAAGTACTTGGAGAACGGCTTGAAGTACTATCCTGGAGCACCCAGGGCTAGGGCCTTGTTGCTCATCCATGTGTCTCAGCTTCCATTGTCATAGCCTCACCCCAGAGACTAGACTCAAGGCAAGTTGTCCCTCCGCTTTGGGAGCACAGAGGGAACAATGCCTGGCCACCACCTGGGACCAGGTTGCTCCAAAATAAGGAGCTTTCGTTGTCACAGAACATTGTGTTGTGTCGTCTTGTGTTATACCCTGGGCCACTGTATGCACAGGTATAACTGCTAGTAAGTGAATAGGAAGGGATTTGCTGGGTCTGGAGGTCATAATGGATTGTTTGTATGTGAGTATTGCTGCCTTCCCTCTATTGCTAAGGATGAGGTGCAGTGGCAGTAGCATGTGTTTGTATCCTGGTCAACTGGATCATGTTTCTCTAGGGGCTTTTTGTTTAAGCTAAAAGTTTTTAGGGGAGGGGAAGCTAAGAGTTTTAATCATTTTTTTTTTTTTTTTGGACACAGTTTCACAGGCTGGCCTCAAACTTACAGCAATCCTCCTGCTTTTGCCTCCTAAGTACTGGGATTACAGGCATGCGCCACCACGCCCAGCAAAAGCTTTAATTTTGGGGATGTCTCCTTACACATAGCTCTGACTTAAAGATAATCAGAACTTTTCATCTGGTTCACAGCCAAAATTAAATGTCCATTTCTGAGTTGACATAGTCTTCTAATGACCCAAGTCTGAGAATTTGGCCAGCTTTTCTGGCTGAAGCATCTCTTTGAACTGATGCCTAGAATGCATGCCTCTTGCTCCTGACCTCTTCTCAGGCCATAGTTGGGGCCTTTGCCCTCCTCCCCCACCTACCCACACACTCCTGCCACACAGACACTTTAATCACTTGCTGAGGTGTCCTCAGAGAAGCCTTAGCTGAAGCCACACGATAGATGGTTAGACTCTCATCATACTGTCACAGCCAGTTTGTTTTTGTGTTTACTGGACTAACTGGATTTATTGGATAAATGAAGTACATTAGCTTTTTGATTAATGTACTACTTCCTATAAGAAAGAAAGATGTTAGCTGGATGTAGTTCCACAGACCTGTGATCCCAGCACTGCAGAGGCTAAGGCAGGAGGATTGTCCTGATTTGGAGGTCAGTCTGAACTATGTACTGAAGCTCATCTCAGAAAAAGATAGAACAAAAGAAAGGTTTGTACTAATATGGTTTGGACAATTAAATGCTGATATCTTGTACTCTGAGTAATTTAAAGATAACAACATGAAGTATGTTAACCATTGTTACCCTCATTATCTTGTTTTGATTTTTTTGTTGTTTATTTCTCTTTTAAGATTAAAAAAAGAGAGAGGAAAAGAAAGATAGGTAGATAGATAGGTGTGAGTGGTGTTTATAAGCATTCATTTTAACAAAATCAGCTTTACAACTTCGTTTCTTTTCCCTGTTTCCAGTGCTTCTGAAATTCCGCACAGATAAAGGAAGAGATCCTGGTTCGGATACCTATGGGGAAGATTCAGAGTTGCTGCTTCACATTCGAAATGATGTGCTTGACTCCCTGGGTGTGAGCCCTGACCTACTTCCTGACGACTTTGTCAGGTTGGTCTCAATGTTTCTCAGAGTTTAGCCTGGACAGATAAATGTCAGTGTCCAGAATTTGCCTTGACTTGGGGAGACCTTTCATGGAGACTTAGCATTCTGAGAATTCCCTGTCCAGCATTCTGTCAGCCCTAAACCTATTGCGTCTGTCCTGGTATGAAAATAAACAAAATATAAAAGAGATTCAGGTTCTGTTTTTGACAGGGATAAAAGTACATTCTCATGATTCAAAATTCAAGTCAGGCTGGCTGTGGTGGTGCATGTCTGTAATCCCAGCACTTGAGAGGCTGAGGGAGGAGGAAGATTGCCACAAATTCAAGGCCAGCCTGGACTACACAGTGAGTTCAGACCAGGCTAAACTACATAGCAAGACCCTGTCTCTCAAGGAAACAAAATTCAAGGAAGGAGCCAGGTGTGGTGGTGTGGAACTACAAACCCAGCACTTCCAGAGGACAGGAGGATCACAAGTTTGAGTCTAGTATGAGTGAATTAATGAGACATGAGGGGGCAGTATAGGATACGTTAACACTATCCCGTCCACATCCTTTTTACTTTCTGTTGTCTTTCGGGTGCCACTTCCTGATGAATGGATAATGTCTTTTCTACAACTTTGAATGCATGTTGAGCTGGGATATATTTGTTTTGTGTTTGTTTGTTTGTTGTGGTGCTGGAGATTGAACCCATCACCTTCAAACTAAGGTATATCCCCAGTAATTTTTTAGTTTTTCAGACAGGATCTTGCTAAATTGCCTTGACTGGGCTCAATTTTATAATCCTCCTGTCTCAGCCTCTGATAGTACTGAGATTTAGGCATGAGCTACCACAATGGACTCTGGCGTGGTACTGTGCTCTGAACCATGGCCTGCTTGCGGGGGCTTAGGCTTTTATTGTCACAGAACATTGCAGTGTGTCGCCTTGTATTACACACTGTGGACACTGTGTGTGCAGGTGTAACTGCAGAGGAATGGAGTTGTTGGGTCTGAGGGGTAAGGCAGGTTGTCTGAGCGGGAAGTGCCACTTTTCCTGGGTTGCTAACCTATCAGTTTCTATCTCCAGGTTCTCAGCATCCTTTCCCCTTGGATATTAAGGGTGCTTTCACCTTACCTTTCTGGTCTGCTCTGTACAGAGTCGGGCTTGGGATTGGATTGAGATCAAATGGTGACCAGATTGTGAGCTCCTTCCAAGCAATTCTGGGATCACTTGCTCACTCTGCCTCCAAGAACTTCCCAAACTGCTTTGTAGTGCCTCCAGGTTATAGCTGCAGTTGATTGAGCAGTTGTTACATGCCAGATAGCAGGACAGTTGCTTTATGCCCACAGACTCTTAATCCTCACATCCTCACAATGCATTTTATAGGTGAGGAAACCAAATCTTGGAGGAGTTAAGCAACCAGTCTATAAAGTTGTGTAGCTAGTAGCAGCAGCTTCCTATGGTGAAGACTTCTTGGACTTTACCTGCCCAGCTGCATGTAATTGCTAATTGCCTCAGGTCTCTCTTACATTGTATGTTATTTTCCTATTTAAATTTAAGTTAGGAGGGGCTGGGGATTTAGCTCAGCGTCATAAGCGCCTGCCTTGTAAGCAGGCAGTCGTGAGTTCAATCCCCAGTACCAACCAATAAAAAGGAAAAAGACAAAAAAAGAAAGAGAGAGAAAAATTTAAGTTAGGTTTTTTGGTTTGTTTTTATTTTTTGAAACAGGGTCACACTGAATATTCTAGGGGTTGTTGGTGTGCACCACCATGCCTGACTGCTTACAGTCTCTTGGGTTGGTGGTCCTTTTTTTTCCCCCTTTCCACTTTTTAGTATGGAAGATTGAGCTCAGGGCCTTAAACTGAGCTAGTGATTTTTTTTGTTTTTGTTTTGTTTTCATACAAGGTCTCACTGAGTCACTAAGTTGTCCAGGCTAAGCTCAAACTTGTGATCTTCCTGCCTTAGCATTCTACAGTACCGGGATTCAGCTGTGTGCTACCATGCTACACCTCTGGCCTTCCTTAGTGCGTATATGTTTGTGTTTGTTTTAACCCTGTCTCAAAAAGACTAAAAAAAATCAGTTTCTTCTTTCCTAGTGCCTTTCTTTACTTCCAGCTGGGAACCTTTTGTTTTTGGTACCAGAGGTCAAACTCATGACCTCATGCTTGCCAGGCAGGCGCTTATGCCACTGAGCTGTATCCCCAGTCCCTCTCTGGCCAGCACCAAAACAGCATTGGTCTTTGAACCAACTGCAGAACCCTGAACCACAAAGCCATTGTAAAACTAAGCAGCAGTCTATATAGTGCTTTTGTAATACTGTCTCCATGAGGTCATGGGCTGGTGACATTAGAAGTCTGGATGGGACCCTTGTCCTGTGCTAAGTTAGCCAGGTGCTCATTTCTCGGTACAGGAAGTACCTGTATATAAGAAGCCATTGTCTGCTCTGTGTTTCATGGCAGAAGATGGGACAAGGTCATGGGGGGCTTCGGTTGCAGCTGACCCACCCCAGTGGTCAGCAGGCTACAGCTGCCAGTGTACCTGGTGCTGGATGTCCAGCGTGAGCACACAGCTGAGCGACTCATTGGGCCATTTACAGTGATGAATGGGCCGGCTCACCCCCACCGGCCTAATGAGATGCTGGCCAGTTTTTCCCTCCTTCCCTGCCCACCTCCTGTGGAAGCTGCTTTCCCACGTCTCGGTCTCATGTGCTCAGGGCTCCAGCTCGATTGCTTGATAAGTAAGAGGTGATGGGCAGGCTCTTGAAACCCCGTCTGTGGACAGACTCAAGAGGGCCCACCATGGAGTAGGGTGCTGGTGAGGAAATGAGCCACCGTCTTGCAGCTGAGCTTCCACCCTCCAGGAGGGAAAGCTGTGCCCAAGCCTCTGTTCCCGTCATCTGCCTGAGGTCTGCCTGCCCGCGTCTTTGCCTTAACATTATTTATTCTCTCCTTGGCGTTACTGCTTTCCATATTATGAAATGACAGATCCCCATATCTAGGAAGTGTAAAGTGGAAGAAAGAGTTCAACTGTAATTCCAGCCACTGCTGCATTTCTGAGTCTAGGGTCAGAACTTTTCTTTGTATATGTAATCATTTTTTCTCTGTTTAACTATCAAAACAGACCGAATTATCTGCATGTTCTTTACTAGTTTTTTTCCCAGCATATCATTTACCTGTCTATGTAAATAGAGTCATGCTAGTTGTCTCATTGTTCATTGTCTAGATATGAGTGTTAACTAATATCTTACTAGTTAACACAAAAGTTTTTATTGTGTTCCAATAGTAACAGATACTTGATAAACATTCTTATCTTAATTTATATATATGGCATAATGTACATTGTATTTAATTTTTTGTTATGGTAAAGTATATATAAATTAACCTTTTTAACTTTTTTGTGTGTATGAGTGATACTGGGGATTGAACCCAGGGTGTTTACATTGAGCTACATCCCTAGCCCTTCTTTGTGTCTGTTTTTTCAGGCACAGTCTCACCAAACTGGCCTCAATTGTGATTGTCCTGCATTAAGGCTCCCAAGTAACTGAGATTACAGGCATGCACCACCACAGCCAGCTTTATGGCTCATTTTTAAAATTTTGCAATGGGGTCAATCCTCTGTATTTAAAAAAGGTTTCATCATGCCAGAAACTTCCCTCATGGTGCCGTGTGCCATCCTGTAGCCACTTCCCTATTCTCCTGCTCTCTGTAATTCTGCCTACTCATAATATGAGATAAATGGGATCATAGATCTATGGTCTTTGGAGCCTGGCGTCTTTTGCTGACCTTAGTGTATTTGGAATTTATTCATGTTATGGTATAAAACCAGTAGCTCATTCTTTTTATGTGTTGTCTGCTTACTAGATGAAGGATGTTTGGATTCTTTGGGATCATTATGACCAAAGGCATTCTAAACATTCACCTCATTCTTGGGGGAAAGGGTTGAGACAAGGTCTTGCTATGTAGTTCACACTGGCTTTGAATTTCCTATGTAGCCCATCCAGCCCACAGCTATCTCCCTGCCTCAGCCTCCCAAGTGCTCAGATTATGAGCATGTGCCACCATGCCTGGCTTTTGCTTCATTTTTCTCCAAAACATTTATCATGAACTGATTTATGTACTTGACCCTTTGGTTTGGTTTGGTTTGGTTTGGTTTGGTTTGGTTTGGTTTGGTTTGGTTTTGTTGAGACAGGGTTTCACTGTGCAGTTCAGACAAGCCTTGAACTGACTGTAGCTCAGGAGGCTGAGGTAGGAGGATTACCACGAGTTTGAGGCCAACCTGGGCTACTAAGGAGGCCCTGCCTCAAAAAAAAAAAATTACTGAGTGTGCAGTTGAGTACACTGAGTTCAATCTCCATGTCAGGAAGAAGGGAAAAAACAATTCTGTGTAAAAACCTCCTCTGTTGTTGAGGTGTTCGGTGAAAGTGTATTAGTCCCCAAGATGACCAGTTTTGGGACCAGGTGACAGTAGCAGCTACTACATGTCCTCTGGATGCGCCACCCTGGCCCTACAGGGCAGTTCCCGCAGGTGGTGCAGGCCCCAGGTTGGGCAGCTTATTTGTGTTAACACAGGCCTGCGCCCCGTCACTAGCTGCTCAGCTGGGAATAGTGGCGGAACCAGCCCCGCTCTGGTCAGAGCAGAATTGCGAGAATGTGACCGGGGCTGTGAAACATCTGATACTTGTGGACCTTATTTTTAGGAAGCACAGATACAATCTTCCCTTTTACTTTAAAAAGAAAAAGTGTGTGAAAGAATTCCTTCTCGCCAAAGTTCAGAGGTCTTTTCCATCCACTCCCGGACCTCGGGTCACACTGAATTTTCATGCCAGCGGGGACATCTAAATGGAGCAGTGCTCATCCCAAAGAGCCCAGAGTATATGTCTGCAGACGTTATCGCGCCCACTGCCCGCCACCACGCCTCACCTGTGCTGACTTTGTCTGCAGGTACTGCTTCTCCGAGATGGCCCCGGTGTGCGCTGTGGTTGGTGGGATCCTGGCCCAGGAAATCGTGAAGGTAAAGAAAGTAGCTCGTGCGTGCACCATGGCTGAAGTTGTCGGAGGGGTGTGCAGATTGACCTGGGAGCTGCCCTTCTCTCACCCCACCCAGCTTTGTCTCGTGTCCTGCCTGTCCTTCTGTCCTGTCCTGGAGCCAGTCAGCAAGGGTCCAACAGAGTCATCGGTTTCTCTGCTGCTCACAGCACTGCCATCCCCATGTAAGAGGAGGACACTAAGGCCCCGAAATCGGCTTCCAGAACTTCCGCCTGTCACCATGGTGTCAGAGCCCCTTCTCTAACCCATCTGCCACTGGCATCTAGAGAGGAGGAATGTGGGTGTCTGTGCTCTTCATAGGGCCCCACAACCAGCAGCTAATTAGTGCAGCTCTTCGGTGTCTTCTGGAATGTTCAGCTTGCTAAAACTATTGCATTCCCCACAGTGGATCTTACTTCCTTGGGGGACCTTGCTATTTGCCCTGTAGTGCTGCATTTGCCTTTGGCTGGGCTGAGTGTGAGGCTCAGTGGTTCTGAATGTGTGCATGTCCCGGGTCAGACCCCAGAACCGCGTTTCATTGCCCTCCATAGATTCTTTTTTTTTTTTTTTTTTTTTTTAATCAGTACTGGGGATCGAACTCATGACCGCCTGCTTGCAAGGCAGGTGCTTATGCCACTGAGCTAAATCCCCAGCCCCCTCCATAGATTCTTGACTATCTTGGTTGATGGGTAGTAATCACCTTTCCTGCTTGGACAGTCACACCTGCCTCAAAGAATTCCTCTGGATGCAGATGTGTCACATTCAAACTTAGCAGGCTGGTTTGCTTGGAGTCCAGCTCTCATCGCCGTGTCTAAGACGTGGAGACCCTGGACTCAGTTTGACATTTGCACCACCTTCCTTTACTCCTCTTTTCCCCATTTCCTTGCAGAGCCCTTCCTTTGCTGAAGTCTGACCTGCTGTGTGTCAGAGGCACCCAGGAAGGACAACAGGAGTGGAGTGTGCGGTGGCTGAACCATGTCCATCCCCACAGCTCAGCTCAGCCCTTGGCAGCCAAAGTCAGTGTGTGCCTGGCTCAGGTCGTAGCAGCTGTTCAGAAGGCTGTTTGTAGACAGCTCAGGAAAGAGAGATGGGAATGGAAAACCATGCTGGGGAAGGAATTTTCATAGCCTATAATGATGACATCATCACCAGTAACAGTAGAAATTACTGCAAGCCTCCAGTGAACTATCAAAGTTAGTGTAAACATGTTGTATCTCATGATGGCACTGTGAGGTGGGAACTCTTGCCACTCTAGTTTACAGAGAAAGAATTGAGGTAGAGAAGTGGTAGTCCAGGTGTGGTGGTACGCACCTGTGGTCCCGGTACTCAGGAGGCTGAGGCAGAAGGGTCAAATGAGCTCAAGGCCAGCCCAAGGTACATCGTTACATAGTGCAACCCTGTCTTTAAAAAAAAATCCTAGGGCTAGGGATTTAGCTCAGTGGTGCAAGTGCCTGCCTGCCAAGCATGAGGTTGTGAGTTTAATCCCTGGTACACACACACACACACACCAAAAAAACAAACGCTGGATAAATGAAGCAGTAGAAAACCGAAATGGTGCCAGTTACTCAAGGGGCTGAGGCAGGAGGATCATAAGTGTGAGGCCAGTCGGGGCAATATAGATGCTGCATCAAAAAAAAATCCAACCCAAAAAAAAACTCATTAGGGGCTGGGGATTTAGCTCAGCGGCATAAGCACCTGCCTTGAAAGCAGGCAGTCATGAGTTTGATCCCTGGTACCGATAAAAAAGAAAAAGACACACAAAAAATAAAAATAATCCAACCAGGCAAGCAGCAAGAGATGAGTGGGGCTCAGTGCTGGAACCTGTGCTCACATGCATAAGGCCCTGCTCTTGATCCTTAGTGCTGCAGAAAAGTGGCCCTCCGGCATTTGTGCTGTGTGGCCTGGCTCCTGGCCTGTGTCCTCACCTGGCAGTCAGACCTCAGGTGTCACCCAAGTGGGCCGGCGTCCCAAGCTCAGCCTGACCACAGCCCACCCCGGACGTCCCGCTCCAGCTTCCCTGGGGGTGGAAGTAGGAGGCCAGAGCAGGTGGCCTCGACCCCCAGTGGCTTCTCTGTGTCCCAGGCCTAATACTGCTCCCTCCTTCCTGCCCACTGCAGACAGCTGTCACCCAGCATCTTGTTTCTGTTTTCCAAGGAAGCAGTGTTCTCTGCATTCTTGGTTGCTGGGTGTGTTTGGAATCTCCTCTGACCCCATCTTGCTAGGAAGCACTTTACACTTTGCCCCGTTCACCTCATGCCCTGCTCTCATCCTGCCGCTCCCCTTGGCCCCTTGTCTGCAGCCAGCTGGCGAGAGGGCCCTGCCCTGAGGGCCTCATCTCACTATAAGAAGGAAGCATCGGAGCTGAGGACAGATGGACAGGCTGTTCACTTGGGATGGTCTCTTGTTTCCTTCCTTCCTTTTATTCTTCCATCTACCACTGTGGTCACACTCCCAAGCCATAGCTGCCCTTGCTTTCCCTCCATCCCTGGTCCCTGGCAGTCTCCCTGCCCAGTGCTGAGGTGAGGGCAAAGGCAGCAGCTACCTGGGACCCTGAATTAGAATCTGGCTGAGGCTGAGCATAGTGTCACACGCCTGGAGTCCCAGCTTGAACAGCTACAGCGTGAGCGTCCCTGGGGCCCGGAGTTGCAGGGTGGCCTGGAAGTACAGTGGGAGCCATCTGTTCGTGTGATTATGATCATCAATCAACAAATGTAGGAAATGGATCATCTGTAGCTTTGCTCCTAGAACCTCCAGCCGTGGTTCACTAGGCATCACACCTGCCCGAATGTGTGGCCCCCTCAGATCTATTGGTGGTGCACCCCAGTCTCTGTTAATTATAGCAAGCCCCTACCTATGGAGAATTTAGTATGTGCCAGGCCTGCCTCACATTTTATCTTCGGAATTTCTAGCAGGCAGAGAGGCAGGTGCTGTTATTTTTCCGTTCTGTAAGCAAGCCTCTTCTGGTTTTTTTTGTTTTTTGATAACAGGTGTTGAACTCAGACCTTATGCTTGCCGGCAGGTGCTTATGCTGCTGAGCTAACGCCCTAACCCTTTTTTTTCAAGACAAGTTCTCTCTGTGGGGTTCAGGCTGGCCATGAACTCACTGTGTAGCCCAATCTGGCCATGAGGGAGCCCTCCTGTTCGTCCCTCTGAGGGCAGAGATCAGGGCCACGCACCACCTCAACTAGCTGCAAGCCGCTCTGATCCAGGCTTTGAGAACAGGGGCCTTCGAAGTACCCGGGATGGAGCAGATGCCCAGCATTTTGCTCACCTGAGTAATCAAACCCGTACCTGAGATAGACGGCATTGAGGTGGGGACCTTGAAAACAACTAGCGACAATGCTCCCAGGAGCCATTAAACTGCACTGGGAGCTGTGTGGGGATGTCCTTCTCCCTGGATGGGGGCTTGTGGTAAAGCTTCATCCTTTTGGAAGTTCACTATCTCATTACAACCTTGCGATCACCTACTAACCTACTCATTAGAAAAGTGTGTGCACACATGGGCCTTACAAGCTGCCACGAAGCACAGCTCCAAGGCACTCCCACCAGCCTCGTCTTGTCTCCACCCTGCATGGACAGCTTGGAGGGCTGGGCGCACTGGTGCATGCCTGTCATCCCAGCACTTGGGAGGCTGAGGCAGGAGGATGGCCAGTTCTGCTCAACTAAGCAATCTAGCAAGACTTTGTCTCAAAATTTAAAGAGGCTCAGGTTTCCACCCTTCATACCTAAAAAAACAGCAAAACAAATGCTGGTAAAGCAGTTCAACTCCTCAACAGAATGAGTAGAGTCATTCCAGGGACCTAACCTACCCCCTCAGGGTACCATGCTGTCCACGGCTAGAGGGCACCACTTGCCCAGGTGCAGTCCTCGGTAACCATCCCTGCTGCTCGCCCACCTGGTGGCGCTACTTCATGCTGCCTGCTGCATGGGATGTTTATGGGAATTGTGTTTTAACCCTCCATGCAGTGTCCTTGCTCTCACTGGATGTAGCAAAGGGCCAAGCAGGCACTTATGCCACTGAGCTACATTCCTGGCCCAAAAGTAAGATTCAGAGAAGTTAAATGGCCCCATAATGGTGCACACCTGTCATCCCAGCACTCAGGAAGCTGGGGCAGGAGAATTGCTATCATTTTGAGGCCAGCCTGACATACATAGTTCAAGGCCAGCCTGAACTACATAGGAAGACCCTGTCTCCAAAGAAATCCAGTGATATGCCTGGACACACATCTGGTAAGGGGTGGAGCAGAGACATGACAAGGTTGTACCCTAGATACGGTGGCACACCAAATACAGGCGTGGAGCAGGGTACTGTAGCACACATGTGAGGAGGCTAAGGCAGAAGGCTCCACCTCAAAAACTAACAAAGCCGTTTCCTTTTGACATTGCTACACAGCCCCTCTAGAGCAAATTCTGTGCCATTTGAGAACCTTTACCAGCTAAGGACAGCTCGGGTTTTCACCTTTGCTCAAACTCCCAAGAGAGGGTTGCTGTTGCCCACATGCCCTCCACAGGGCCTTGGAGCTGAGCTAACTCCCTTTGGTTTTCTTCCCCAGGCTCTGTCGCAGCGGGATCCCCCTCACAACAACTTCTTCTTCTTCGACGGCATGAAGGGGAACGGGATCGTCGAGTGCCTGGGCCCCAAGTGAGCCAACACCTAGCCCTCCGCCCTGGGATGTGACTAAACCATGTCCCCATCCCCAGGAAGGCATAGTGAGGTCACCAGCCCGGGGCAGGTTACTGGCCCGAAGCTGGAGCTGGAGCTGGAGCTGGTGCCACCTCTGCCCCAGCGCTGCTCAGGACCTAGGCTCCAGACGCTCCTGGAGCATGGTCTGGGACATACCCTTGGACATCACCTCCCTGCCCGCGCCTCTGGGCCATACCTGGACTTCCTCCCCGAGATGAGTGCAGCCTTAGGTGAGGAGTAAGGCCTGAGCCGAGGGATGCTCCAGCAAAACCCGCACCACTGACAGGTGCCGCAGGGGGCCAGCCAGAATATCCGTCCTCCGCATCCCCAGAGTATGCACCCTGGAAAACAACAGGTGGCTCTGAACTGGGTGCAACTTGCTTGGGTTTGGGATTAGTGAGTTCCAGCCGGGAGGAAGAGCCCGGCCGACAGCCCAGTGCCCGCGGCAGTGCTCTGCTCACCCCTCATCCGCAGCTGTCAGTGTTGTGCGGATTTTCTACATGGTTGTTTAACAAGGAGTGATAATAAAGTTATTTGTTTTACGCTTTGTGTGTTTTTCCAGTTGAAAGCTGCCTGGGTATGGGCCTGGTGTTGCCCTTTTAAACCTACAGAAATGTCACTGGCTGCACTTGTGCAGCTGAGCTTGGAGTCCCAAATTTTGTAGTGCACCTACCAGTGGCTGTGCTCCCAGCTCCCGGGCCTATGGGACCCTTGCAGAGGCCATGCTGGCTGCCTGTGTAGTGAGGGAGTCAGGGTAAGACTGCCCCTTCCTGTCAGTGCAGCCTGCCCTAGGTGGGCAAGTGACTGCACTGGGAGAAGCAGCTGCAGCCCTGCAGCGCGGCTGGAGGGCCTCCCTCTGGGCGCCGTCAGCATCAGGGGTGGCATCAGGGTCGGTAGTTTGATTGCTACTTGACATTGAGGTCTTTTGAGATTGTAAATGAGTAAAGTCTTGGCTTTGCACTGCAGCCACAAGGGGGAGGCAGTGGGCCTAGACAGTGGCAGGATTGTGGCCGCCTCCAGCGCTTTACAAACTTTCCACTTTCTGCCTGCAGAGTGCTGCAGAGACAGAGTGGCCCAGAGAAGACCCCAGAGTGGGTGGGAAGTGGGGCAGGCAGTGCAGGAAGCCGCCAGCCCCAGTTGGGAAAGAGTGAAGTTCAAATTATACCCCGAATTCACGGGTTCACATTAAACAGGTTTTCCTCACTTCCCAGGAGGGGCTCATCTACCTGGGGCTGGGGCCCAGTGCACAAGGCCTTCATCTCTGATTCCTGTAGGAACAACATTGTTAAGTACTTAAGGTGCTGAGGTCATTGAACTCTCAAAACCAGCTAATGAGCTGGACATGTGGCCCACACTATAATCCCTTGGGCGGCTGAGGCAGGAGGATGGTGGAGCTTGAGGCCAACTGGATGTAATGGACTTTTACAAAATGCTGCTCTGCCTTCTGTGGCCTCCCCAGCAAGCCGACCCTTTTCCAGCTCTTGCACTGACTTGGTAAATGGAAATGGGTACATCCCAAGCTCCATACTGAAACTCTTTAGGATGCCAAAGTGAATCTTTGGTTCAGTTGGCAAGTCAGGAGTTCAGTAACTAATAACTAGTAGCTTAGTGCCTGGCACCTTTGAAATTACTTCCAAAAAAAAAAAACCAGGGCTGGGGATTTCGCTCAGCGGCATAAGTTCCTGCCTTGCAAGCGCGCAGTCGTGAGTTCAATCCCTGATACCGGTAAAAAAAAAAATATAATGAAATTACTTGCGTTTTGTAATTGCTCAAACCCCACTGCACCCCCTCCATGAAGGTTGGCTCAGAGCAGAGGGCCTCACCCACGAACAAGGGCTGGCCTGGGGCTGACAGCAGACTCATTCAGTTCAGGTTTCCTGTTAGGCTTTGTGGCATACACAACCCTGATGCCCAGGGGGCATCTCGGGCCCAGCAAATGCTGGGCCAAGGCCTTTGGGTGAGTCCAGAAGGACAAGAGGATTTTCTTTTTAAGCCTGCAAAACAGTTAAGCAATATACAATCAAGCAGTAAAAAGATTCCCTCGGGGGCTGAGGATTTAGCTCAGCGGCATAAGCACCTGCCTTGCAAGCAGGCGGTCGTGAATTCGATCCCCGGTACCAGTAAAAAAAAAAAAGATTCCCTCTGGCAGACTGTTCATTGTGGGCCACAAAATAGGAGCAACTGCTGGGCTGGGTAGCACATGCCTATAATTCCAGCATGCAGGAGGCTGAGGCAGGAGGGTCACCTAAAGTTCAAGGCCAGTCTTGGCTACATAGTTCAAAGCAAGCCTGAGCTACATAGTGAGACCCAGTCTCCAAAACAGTAGAACCAGGGAAAAGCTCAGCACATAGCACCTGCCTGGCAAGCATGAGGTCATGAGTTTGATTCTTGGTACCAGAACCAAACAACAAAAAGCTGACCTCTCAATTCATAAGTGTTAGACAAGGTGCTTCTTTTTGCACATGTTAACTGGGCCCATTTTCATTTCTCCCAGAGGTCACCCCTGACAGCTGGAGAGTAAATCCTCCCAGACATTCTGCCACTTAGCTGAGTGCCTTTGGGCGAGTGAGTCTTTGGACCTCAGTGGCTGCCTCTGTGAAATGGGTATGATAGAGTACGTGCTGAGGCTGGGTTGGCTCAGTGCTACACCATGTGCTTAGGGTGCAGAGCCTTTGGCTTCAGCAGTCAGACTGACCTGGAACCCTGGGGGAACCTCACTGCCTGCCAAAGCCTCACCTCCCAACACAGCCCTTACAGAGACACCTGACTTTATCTTGTGCTGCTGAGGATTGAACCCAGAAGCACTCTGCCTCCCAGCTAGGTCTCCAGGCTTTTTACGTTGAGACAGGGTTTCATTCAGTTGCCCAGGCTGGGCTCAAACTCCTGCTTTAGCCCTCCAAGTACTTGAGATTACAGCCACATGCTTCCATGCCTGATTTGGGGGATATTTAGACCCAAACCATGACTATTTTATTGCGACAGCTTTTCCCCATCCCTGTTCGTGTTTATTTTTGAGAAAAGTCTCACTATATAGTTGAGGCTGACCTTGGACTAGTGGCAGTCCTGCTACCTCAGCCTCCCAAGTGCTAGGATTACAGCTGTGTGCCACCACTTCTGGCCCTCCCCATTTCTATCTTGGAGATCCTCCTTAGCGTTGTGCAGCAAATGCTACCACCCGAGTGTGTGTGTGTGCCCATGTGTGTGGGGCCAGGATCTACTGTTTTGCACTTACTAATCCAGGGCTGTGCTGCTGAGCTAAAGCCCTGCACCCACACCTGTATTTGATAGTCTGCTGTTCATTGATGTTGAGCTGTGCCATTTGTGTCACTAAGAAAGACTTCTCCAAGACCCAGTTCCAGCGTTAGTGAATAAACATATTGTAGGTGTCCTTGTTTTCCAGAAGACGGGGAGGGGGGACAGTGGGGCCCAGCAGGAAGAATAGTTGCCAAAAAAGAGTAGGGTGGTACCATTTCACAGTGACAGAGCGAGTCAAACCCAGGAGTGTTTTACCACTAAGCTGCATCTCCAACCCTTCTGTAATTTCACTTTTTTTTTTTTTTTTTTTTTTTTTTTTGTCTTTTTCCTTTTTGTCTGTACCAGGGATCGAACTCACGACTGCCTGCTTGCAAGGCAGGCGCTTATGCCACTGAGCTAAATCCCCAGCCCCTGTAATTTCACTTTTTAAAATCTGAAATAGAAGCTTGCAAGCTGCCCAGGATGGCCTCAAAATTGGGATCCTCCTGCCTCAGCCTCCTGGGTAGTTGGGAATACAGGCATGCACCACTGTGCCAATTAAATTTCTTTTACATGTTACTGTTTCCATAGTTCATTTGTATCTTGTACCAAGCCGCAGGTCTTATAAAGATACACAGTAGCATTTTCTTTTTCTTTCTTTTTTTTTGTATGGTGCTTGCTAGGCAGGCACTGCTTGGCAGTAGTATTTTCTTTTCTTTTCTTTTCTTTTCTTTTTTTTTTTTTTTTTTTTTTTGTCTTTTTTTGAGACGGGGTCTTACTATGCAATTCAGGCTGGCCTTAAGCTCACTTTGTAGCCCAGGCTGGTCTTGAACTCAATGATCCTCCCACCTCAGCCTCCTGAGTGCTAGAATTACAGGCTTGAGCTACCACGCCCAACAGCAGTAGTATTTTCTAAGGGAGGAAAACAGGTACACAGGATGACCATTGCAGGATGCAAACATCTGGAGGCAGAGCAGGGTTACCAGTTCCAAGTTTGAGATAAACTGCCTAGAAGTTGCTGTTTGCAAGAAGTGATACTGACATGGGTTTTGATTTTTTTTTTTTTTTTTTTTTGGTCTTGTTGAGTCAGGGTCTCACTATGCAGTTCAAGCTGGCCTTGAGCTCACTTTGTGGCCCAGGCTGGTCTCGAACTCACAAGGATCCTCTCACCTCAGCCTCCTGAGTGCTGGGATTACAGGCATGAGCCACCAGGCCCAGGAAGGGCCCACAGTGGTGCTGAAGGCCTCACTGTCTGAGCCGCTGGGTCTCTCCTTCTGTGTTCTGAGACCACTTAGCACCTTGGTTCTGATGAGAAGGTGGTACCAATGGCCTTAACATTTTCTTTTCTAGCAGCCTGTTGGATATTTCAGATGACATATGGCCTTCTTGGGAACTGTCCTTGGGTCTCTGCCTCTTAGGATCTAATCTAGGTGGTGGGGGTGGATTCCCTGCTTTCAGTCCTCGAAAATGACAGTTCTATGAGAAAGGAAGAGCCAGGCACAGAAGTGCACACCTGTAATCTTAGCACTTGGGAGGCTAAGGCAGGAGGATCGCCATGAGTTCAAGGCCAGGCTGAAATACATAGTGAGACCCAGTCTCAATCAAAATGTTAAAATCTGAATTGTAGCTCCGTAGGAGAGCACGTGCCTGTTTACGAAAGGCCCAGAGTCCAAACCCCAGCACCAAATAATCTGTTTCTGGTAACCATCTAACAGAAAAATCTTCCTCCAGAAAATAAATATAGAATATAAATTCTAGACAAGTGAAAAATAGAAAACTGCTTGGGAGCTCCTAACACTTTTTTTTTTTTTTTTTTTTTTGACTTTTTCCTTTTTATTGGCACCAGGGATCGAACTCACGACTGCCTGCTTGCAAGGCAGGCGCTTATGCCGCTGAGCTAAATCCCCAGCCCCCCTTTTTTTTCTTTTAAGACCAAAACCATTTCATTATTTAAATCTAGATTTGTAGTTTCTAAAACATTGATTCATAGATCACAGATCACCATCATGTTACATGTGTACCAGCAAAAACAAAAGACCAAGGGAAACACTGCATTTCTACATGGATTTTGTTTGTCTGTTTTTTGAAAGAGACTTGCTGTGTAGCCCAGGCTGGCTTTGAACCCATGGCTGTCCTCCTGCCTCAGCCACAGGTGTGCACCACCGCATCTGGCCCAAAGCCTTTCCGAGTGAAAGAAAGCAGGTGGATTTTTGAAGAGTTGAAAATTCTAAGAGCCCAACACTGGGTGGGTTGGGTTTTGTTTGTTTTTCCAACAGTTTTATCCTGAGGAAGTAAAGCTCAGAAAACCACTGCCTCACGGCATGGAGAAGCAGAGGTTGAAGTCCAGAGTGACCATGGCTGCTGAGAGCAGCGGGTCGGGGACAGGAAAGAAGCCACCCAGGGAAAGCTCAGAGCAGGACTGAAGGCGACGGGGTGTAGCTATCACACCCCCCACAGGGTCCTGCAGTTTCTGCTACCAAGCATATCAATGCACTTTGCAGGAAATTAACAGAATCCAGGGGACCTGTAACACTACATTCATGATATCTGGGACATAGTTCCAAATTGTTTGACGTACACAGAATCAGGAAAGTGTGATAGAAAAGTAAACCAAGCTGTAAGACTGAAGTCAGTAAGACTGAAAATAGGGCTGGGATGGGGGCTGGGGATTTAGCTCAGCGGCATAAGCGCCTGCCTTGTAAGCAGGCAGTCATGAGTTCGATCCCTGGTACCGGTAAAAAAGAAAAGGACAAAAAAAAGAAAGAAAGAAAAAGAAAATAGGGCTGGGGTTTAGTTCAGCGATGAAAGTGCCTGCTTGGCAGACTTGAGGTTGTGAGTTCAATCCCCCGTACAAAAAAAAAAAGACTGAAAAATAGAGGATCTGAAATAAAAAATATATTGAGTGGACCCAGTGGCAGAAAGGACGTAAGGGAGAAAAGAATCAGTGAACTGCAGATAGAGGAACAGAAATTATCTCATCTAAGACTGGGAGTCTTGGTGCACACCTGTCATCACAGCACTTGAGGCTGAGGCACAAGGATCTAAAGGTCAAACCCAGTATGAGCAATGTAGTGAAGCCCTCTCTCAAAACAAAAACAAAACAGTTATCTAGCCTGAGAACTAGAGGAGGCTGAGGTGGGGGAGGATTGCAAGTTTTGTTTTGGTTTTTTGAGACAAGGGATCCCCTAGAGTGTGGGCTGGCTCTGAACTCACTTCAGAGGAGATCACAAGTTTGAATTCAGGTTGGGCAAGCTAGCAAAACCTTGTCCCCAAATAAAACATTTGAAAAGGGTAAATACGAAGGGAACTATCTAGACACATCATACTCATATGAAAACTAAGAATGAAGAAAAGGCTCAAGAGTCACCTGATAAAAATGACATTGTCACCTGAGAACTGTGGCCCAAAGGTTTCGGGATCCCTCATCACAGTGATGGGGGCTAGAAGACAGGAAAACTCTCTTTAAAAGCGCTGAAAAGAACTGGCAAAGGGCTGGGGACGGGGCTCAGCCCCCTGGGCCCTGGGTTCAGTCCCCAGCAAGAAACAAAACAACCTGTAGGGGCTGGGAATTTAGTTCAGTGGCGTAAGCGCCTGCCTGACAAGCGCAAGGTTTTGTTTGTTTGTTTGTTTTTTGTCTTTTTCCTTTTTATTGGTACCAGGGATTGAACTCAGGACAGCCTGCTTGCAAGGCAGGTGCTTATGCCGCTGAGCTAAATCCCCAGCCCCAAGCCCAAGGTTTTAAGTTTGATCCTGGTACCAAGGGGGGTGTAAGCAGTGAAAATATCCTTGGAGACACTGAAGTAAAATGAAGAAAATTTGTTGCCAGCCAAAATATAAGAAATTCTATTGGGGGGCTGGGGATTTAGCTCAGCGGCATAAGCACCTGCCTTGCAAGCAGGCAGTTGTGAGTTCGATCCCCGGTACCGATAAAAAGGAAAAAGACAAAAAAAAAAAAAAAAAAGGAAATTCTATTGGAGCTGGAGGTGGCGGCACTTGCCTGTAATTCCACACTTACAAGGCTAAGGCAGGAGGATCCCTGTGAGTTTAAGGCCAGTCTGGGCTACATAGCCAGGCCCTGTCTCAAACAAAGCAAACAAAAAAATTCTAATGCAGCTGGCGCCTTGGCAATACTATATAATCCAGCACCAAGGGAGGCTGAGGCAGGAAGATGGAAAGTTCAAGTCCTGCCAGGTCAATTTAAGGAGATCTTATCAAAAAAATAAAAAAGGATGGATGAAAATCCTAATGGAAACTTTTCATAGAGAAATAATACTTTGGGGTCATGGAACTTCAGCATGGATTTAAAGAGTGATAGAAATGGAAAATGGAGAAAAGGAAGTCACTTGTTCCTAATTTCATTTTTTGCTTTTTTTTTTTTTTTTTTTGAAACAGGATCTTACTATGTAGTATAGGCTGGGCTTGAACTCAGAGATCCTTCTGCATCAGGCTCCCCAGTTCTGGGATTACAGGCATGTGCTGCGACATCCAGCCTAGTTTTAGTTTTTCTGAGACAGGGTCTCACTATGTTGTCCATGTTGAATTTGAATTCACAGTGATCTTTTCTCCCCAGCACAAGGACAAAAGTTGTTCTATTGTCTCATGGCGACAATACTGTTTCAGATGTAATAGGGGTGGCAGAGTGAATGGACCTGTACACCATAAGGGTTCCTAAATTATACTTGAAAACTGTACAATATTAACTCTGAATAGATTATAAGTGCTAAGGATATTTTTGTTTTGTTTTGTTTGGGCAGATGTATTTTTTTTTTTTTTTTAATTTTTAAAGCTGTGCTAAAAACATCCTAAGGCATCCAAATTTTTTTAAAAAGACAAATTTATAAAAAAAAAAAAAAAAAAAAAAAAAAAGCAAAAAAAAGGGGCTGGGGATTTAGCTCAGCGGCATAAGCACTTGGCTTGCAAGCAGGCAGTTGTGAGTTCGATCCCTGGAACCGATAAAAAAAAAAAAAAAAAGACAAATTTATTTGCGAAACTACACATAAAACTTGTGCTTGGCTAGTTTATGTGAGGCTCTGGGTTCAATCCCCAACACTGCAAAACAATAATGGTGGTGGGCCGGGGGATTTAGCTCAGCAGCATAAGTGCCTGCCTGGCAAGCGCGAGGTTGTGAGTTTGATCCCTGGTGCCACAAAAAAAAAAAACAAAAAACAATAATGATGGTAATAATTTTTGATGCTGCAAACCAAATTTTTGTTTTGTAGTTTTTTGTTTTTGAGACAGGGTTTCACTGTGTAATTCAGACTGGCCTTAAACTCACTCTGTAGCTCAAGCTGGCCCTGAACTTGAAGTGATCCTCCTGTCTCACTCAGCCATCCACAGTGCTGGGATTCCAGTAATGTTTCATGGTGGAATTTAAGTACTCCAGGTTGCCTTCCATTGGTCCCATTTTGGTCCCCATTTCCCTCACCCTGCTCTCCCTTGGATAACTTGAATATTTTTTAGAATTTCACTTAAATTTGCTGGGCGAGGGACTAGGGATTTGGCTCAGTGGCATAAATAAGCCTGGCTGGCAAGCACAAGGTCATGAGTTCGATCCCCGGTATCACAAAAACAAAGAAACAAACAAATCTTTTGGGTGAGGTGTTGCGCTACTGTCATCCCAGCACTCAGGAGGCTGAGGCAGGAGAATCACCATGAATTTGAGGCCAGCCTGAATGATACAGTGAAACCCTGTCTTAAAGCAAAAATAGAAACAAACAGAAGTGGTGAAGGCATGGGCAACCCTTCCGGGCCCCTCCTGTCTCTCTCCAGCTATTCCTGTTCCCCTTTTTCCCCATGAATTTTCCTACTCTTAAAAAAATAGAGGAGGAGCTGGGGATTTAGCTCAGTGGCTTAAGCACTTGCCTTGCAAGTGTGTGGTCGTGTGTTCGATCCTTGGTACCAATTAAAAAAGAAAAAGACAAAAAAAAATTTAAAAAAATAGAGGGGCTGGGGATTTAGCTCAGCAGCATAAGCACCTGCCTTGCAAGCTGGCGGTTGTGAGTTCAATCCTTGGTAGCGATTAAAAAAAAAAAAAAAAGGATGCAATGAAAGCAAAGAATTTGGGAATCCCTCATTAACAATTCCTGACCCCAGGTAACTGAAAGCGACTGCAGGAATGAGGGCGCTGCTGCCACACTGAGGTGCCCTCTCCCGCACATACATGTGCTGCTAAGGGAAGGACGTGGAGCGGGCAGCCACTGCCGCGGGCACAGAACTCTGCTTGGTCCTGCCAGATTCCTCTCCGTGCCTGGCTTGCGGACTCAGGGCCGCCTCCTCAAGGTCCCCCATAGAGAGGTACATCCAGAAAGCCGCCAGGCAGGTCGTGGTGGCACATGCCTGTAATCCCAGCACTCAGGAGGCTGAGGCAGGAGCATTGCCACCAAGTTCAAGGCCAGCCTGGGCTACAGTATAGTGAATGCCTGTTAAAAAAAAATACCTAAGTGCCTACCTAGCAAGCTCCATGTTGTGAGTTCGATCCCCAGCACCAAAAGCAATAAAATAAAGGGCTGGGGATGCAGCTCAGCAGCACAGCACGCCTTGCCTGGCAAGTGTGAGGTCGTGAGTTTGATTCCCGGTACCAAAAAAAAAAGGATGAAAGAAAGAAAAAGCAGCTGAGCTGGGCTCAGGATCAGTGTCCTCATGCATTTTGTGCCCTGATCCTCTTGGGCCAGTGCCAGTCCAGCATAGAAGAGGGTTCAAGGACAGCATTCAGCTCCCATCTGTAACCTGAATTCACCACAGGCTGCTCCTGGCAGCGAGAGAGGCCTCAGGGCAGCTGTGAGGCGAAGCCCTGCTTGGCTCTGGCTTGGGGTGCACCTGCAGCCAGAGGGGCCAGAGGGGCTAGAGGGGCATGGGCTGTTCCCCAGGGGCTCCGGCATTCCCGCCTCTGCATGGGCAGCCGGGGTGTCCTGGGAGCTTGAGCAAGTCATAGGCCATCAGCTATTTCAGATGCCGGGCTCCAATGACACCCTGGACCCGGTGGGACAGAGGCAGCCCAGGAAATAAGAACCCTGCCCCTCACACAGCACAGCCAGCTACCCCTCCTGCTGAGTTCCCTGAGCCCAAAGGGGCACCTGTCCCAAATCCCAGAACACAGAATGGGGAAGGGAAGCAGTAAACTCATCCACTGTTCCAATCTGATTTTATTGAAAAGGAAACATACAAAAATCATGTACAAAAAAAATTAACCAAACATGTACAGAAAATTCATTCCGGTATCTACAGCAGCGCATGTACAGTATTTTACAGGCTGGGCCACCCCTCCCCGCTCCCAGACTCCTCCCTCCGCTGAGATTCCCCCCTCCCTGACACCCCGTGTCTTCCCTCCAGCCCAGCACTTCGCCCTGGGGACTAAGGCTGGGGCAGCTTCCGCCAAAATCTCCCACCCCCCAAATGAATGCCAGTGGTCACACGTGCTCTCTCTAAACCTATGAGATGAGACTGATGGGGACGGGGCGTGGTCACGGGCAGCGCACAGGATTCACAGTCTGGACCCCTCCTGGCCACCCCAGGGTGAAGGTGAGGCAGGCGAGCCCACCACCTGCCAGCCAGCTCCAGCAAGGCTGGGCGCCAGCATGGGGAAACCATCAGCTCCCCGCTCTGGCTCCAGGAGGCCAGGGGTCACATTTGGCTCATTTGTTCTTCACGGGCCCCCTCCCCAGGAGGAGGGGGGGAAGCACCAGGGGCCTGAGGCCAGGCCCAAAGTGAAGGAGCACCGGGGACCCCTCCCTCAGCGTCCCCCCTGCAGCTGGAACGGGCAGCCAGCACCAGCAGCCTTTCCTGAGATGGTGGTGGACACCGAGGAGGAAGAGGAAGAGGAGGAGGAGGAGGAAGAGGAGAAGGAAGGGGTGGTAGTGGTGGCGGCGGCAGCGGCTCAGTCCCCACCCCTTGGGGTCACCGCCGCCTTCAGATGCCAAGTCCTTCGACCCTCCTTCCGGGCACAAGTCCATCGGGGCACTGGAGCAGAGCCAGGCCAGGGCAGCTGCCCTGGGCCGCCCCAGAACAGGCAGGGCTGCTAGTCCAGTATGCTACATGGTGCAGAAAAAGTCCCCCGCGCTGGCCAGGGTGTCAGGAGGCGGGAGGGTCCTGCCCCCCAGGTCCCCGACGTCCACCGGGCTGATGCAGGCACCTAATTGGGCTCCATTTCAGGGACTCCGTGGGCCCTGGGTAAGGGCAGGAGTCCCATGATGAGATTGTACAGGACCCTCCAGGGGGACGGGCGGTGTCGCTGCTGCTCCTCTTGTCTCTACGAAAGACAGAGAAGAGAGGTTAGGGGGGACCTATGCTGTGACATGGCAGTGAGTGACTAGGACAAAGGGCAGTGAGGACCCAGCTCAGCTCCGAAACAGAACCACGCTGCCACCAACCCCCATCCAGCTCTCTTCCACCCCCAGGGCTACCAGTTTCCTCCTTAGGGACAGAGGTCACATTCTCATACAAGCCTAAGAGGGAGGGATGGTGGACGGAATTGACCACAGAGCACAGACCCTGCACACTACCCCATCCCTGTGTGCCAGGCGGGGAAGCCACACAGCTAACCTCTGGCTGAGCCTGCTCCCACTGTGTCCTCTTAAAGGCTGGCACGATAGTGGGAAGGGGGGCAGACGAGACGAGAGGTGGCAGGGAGGGGCTGGGCCTCCTTGCAGAGGCCTTGGGTGTGGTTCAAGTGCCCATGGCCTGCTCCTGGGCCTCCAGGACCCTCTCTGTTCCAAATCACTGATCTGGACCCTCACCCCGAGGAATTAAAAGCAGTACTAAACATGACCCGTTAGCTCCAGAGGCCCCTCCTGCTTGCCCTTGTCCCTGCAGGTGAGGAGGAAAGGCCACTTCCACAGCTGGTCAGTGAACGACCCTAACAACCACATAGGGACCCTGGCAGTAGATGCCTGGCACCAGCCCCTGCCACCTCCACACTGCCTTCTAGCTCCTGTGGCTGGGAGAAGGTGGCAAAGGAGGCACAGGTTAGAAAAACCTGCTATGATCAGTGGCTATGAAACGCCATCAAGCAGGCAGTCACCAAACACTACTAGTGGGGAGGGCGCCGCGCAGGATGGAGTCAGGGAAGATTCACCATGCACACGTGTGCTCGCCCTGACAGGGAGAAGGCATGGAAATAAAATCTGAGATCTAGCAGCTCAAGACCATAAATCAGACACGCATGTGTAAACAGGGTACTGTCTCTCTAGTGTGAGAAGCTGAAACAAAGTATGCATATGTATGTAAGAAACAGTGAAAACAATTATTCTCTGAGTTCGCTGAAGAGAAAGACTTGTGCCAGTACCGAACCCAGAAGTCTTGTGAATGATTTGGGGCCGACAATGCACAATTCATGTACTGCTGTTGCCCCTTGATTAACACGCTTTGAAATTATGTTTGTTTTTTCTCTGTGAAATAAAATGGCTTAAAAAAAAAAAAAGTCAAGATCTATTGTATTAAAAAAATCTGCCCTAATAGGGCACAGTGGCGCAAGCCTTTAATTCCAGTATTCTGAGAAGCTAAGGCAGGAAGCTTACAAATTGGAGCCCAACCTGGACAGTTCAGTGAGACTTTGTATCAGAATAAAAAATAAAAAGGGCAAGGGATGTAGGTCAGTGCAAAGGTCCTACATTCAATCCTCAGTCCAAAAAGAAAAAAATTGTTGATTCTGCATAGTATGCAGCAGTGAAAAAGTGGAAAGCACCTTAGCCTAGGACTGGGGTGTGAAGCCCTGCGGGGGCGGGGGGGGGGGCAGCTGTGTGAACTGGAGCGCACCGGAAGCAAAGCTGCAAAGCCAAGCCAAGCGCAGGCCAGAGGCCTCAGCGATTGTTCTGGCCCGCAGGCAAAGTGCCTGGACAGCCAGGGTCAGCACCTGCAGGGCACTGAGACAGGCCCGCGGGGGGGGGGGGCGGGGGGCGGGGGGGGGGACGGGGCAGAGCTCGGTGAGTATTTTTTATTTTGCTCCTCGCTGGGTTTTTTCCCCCACAAGCAAACAATGCAGGTGCCCCGTTCTGAGGAACCAAGCTGGGAGGTGGCTGCGGGGTGTTTGTCACCGAGGCGGCGGGGTCGCAGCCCGGGCGGGGGGGCCGGGGCCGCCGGGCAGCGGGGGGGCGCTGCGGCCGCGCCGAGCAGAGCGGGCGGCGGGGAGGCGGAGGCAGAGGCGGGCGCGGCCGCGGCGCGCTGCTGACTCATCCGCTATAAATAGCCCAGGATATAGGAGCCGCTCCGCCGAGCGCCGCCCTCAGTCCCCGCCGCCGCGGGCCACGGGAGCGCCGGGCTCTGGCCGCGACGCGCAGCACCAGGCCGGGCAGGGCCGTGCAAGCCGCGGACCCCTGCCTCGGGGGCTCCCGGGCACCCCGCCCGCCTGTCCCCGCCGCGACCCCGCCGCACAGGCCAGCAGCTGCCGCACATCTGGCGGGGGCGCCCGCTGCCCCCTCCCTGCGGGAAGTCCCACCTGCCGCCAGCCCTCCCCGCACTCACCCTCCGCTCGTACTGCGCGTTGAGGTCGTCCGCCATCCGCCGCAGCTGCGCCCCGATCTCCCGGGCCCACTGCTCCTCCTCCCCCCGGACTCCAGGGGCTGCCTGGGTGGGACCGCCCGCCAGGGCCTCCGGGGCGCTGGGCACGGGCGACTCTAGGTGCTGCTCGGCCGCTGAGAGAGGTGGCTGAGGACCTGGCGGAGGCAGAGGGCGTGGTCACCACCTGCCACCCTTAGCGCCTAGAGGTTTGCAGGGGGACCCAGGTCCCCAAGGCCTGCCTCTCCCTTTTCCTGGCCGCCCACTTTCTCCTCCGGGCTCCCCCCCACCCCGCCTCATTTCTAGCGATCCCTGCCTCTGGGGCCAGGTTTCTCAGCTCCTCCTCGATACAAATCAGAAAGCCAGAGAAGGGCCGGGGGAGGCGACCAGCTGCCTCCCTAGTCCTCCGGGCGGTCTAGCAGTCCTTACTCTTATCCAGCATGAGTACCTCTATTCCAAAATAGGGCCAGATCTTGCTGCTGTATTTGACAGATAGACAAACTGACACATACCCTCCTACAAGAGGCCAAGGTCACACAGGGATACAGTAACTGACCCCACCCAGAGTCACAAGCCTCAGGTCTCCTGCCTTCTGGTGTCCAACCGCAGCCAGGCCACACCTCCGGATGTGGCAGAGGCTGGGAGACCAGAAGGCCAGAAGGGCTGCCTGAGAGCCAGGCCTGGGGTTGGGATCCAGGAGATGCCTCCTGCCCCACCCCCACCCGGGCGTTTTGGCGTCCCTCCCCCTGGTCACAGCAGGTCCTGGCAGGAGGGCTCCCTAAAGCCTTTCAAACCAGGGCCTCAGTTACCACATCTGTGACACTGAGGCCCTGGTCCCAGGTGCCCCAGCGGGTGTCCAGGAACTGAGCTTGGGAAGTTTTCTCCTTCCTTACTGCCTGGGCTCCAGGGACAAAAGGGGGGTTGAAAAGGGAAACCAGGACGGTCACTCCCGGCTGCCAGGCACCACAGGGTTAATAGCCCATCAGGCAGGGGACCTTTAACTCTTCCCTCCCCAAGACTCACCCTTGCCCCAAGGGGACTTTCCCGACACAATGGCCCCTCCCCCCTTCCGTCTCTGGGGTTGTGGCCTGGACCAGCTCAGGCCAAAGAGATGCAAATAAAGGCAAAACGCTCCCTTCTACCTCCCCCTCCCCAAAGTCTGGAGGTGATGATCCTCCCACTCTGCCCACACTCCTTCCCACTACGATCCCTCGGGGATCTGGGGTGGGGGCGACCAGGCTGGGGGAGGGGAGCTGGGAAACAGCTGTTGCCCGAGGCCCGGAAAAGGCCGTGGGCTGCAGCTCGAAGACTGCAGTCAGATTCCAGGAGGGACTTCCCACCCGACCTCCCCCTCCATCCCCGTCTCCCACCCTGCTTCCTGCTTCTCTAAACACAAAGACCACACTGGCCACACCCTCCCAGTGGCCCTCCTCAGCTGGCGGCCTCCCTCTCCACCCCCACTCTAGTTCCTCCACTCTTGGCGACCCTGGCTTTCCCAGGCCGCTCATCCCAGCCGCAGGGCAGTCACTCACCGTCAGGGCGCGGGCCTCGGGGCCGGCTGCGAGGCCCCCTAGGCCAGCGGGGGCCCCCCAGAGCAGCTGTGAGGGCGGGTGGGGCCGTCGGGGCGCAGAGGTAGGCCGCGGGCAGCAGGGCAGGGGTGGCAGGGGCGGCCGGAAGGCCGGGCTCGCAGAGACCGCAGGACACAGCTGAGGGCACCAGGCGGCCAAGGGGGAAGGGGCGAGGGCCGTCGCGGGCCAGGCCCTCTACGGGCTCCGGAGAGCTGCCCTCCTGGCGTGCACGGGCCATGGCGCTCCCTGGAGCCTGCGGGACACAAGGGAGGTCATCGGGAAGCAGGGGCCAGGCCCCCATCGCGCACACACACTACCCCACTCACACTGGACCCCAATGGAGGAAAGTGGGTGTGTGACAGGGGACAGAGATGGCTTCACAAGACCCACCCGACTAGGGAATGACATAGGGCAGTGCTGGCCAGTAGGTTGGGGGAGATTAAGGTGATGGACAGGGAGGGCAGGGCCCCCCATGGAGAGGGGTTGTCTGAGCTTAGTGAGGGCCCTGCTATGCAAACTCCATGCAAACTCTGCTCCGGGAGTCGCGAGTGGGGACAACCTGCCCAACACAGTGACAGGCACGCAGGGCAGCAAAGACTTGCTTCAGACACATGGGACTCCCACAGGACATGTATGGGTTGTGTGGCAGAGTGCACCACACACACACAAGGACACCCACAGCACTGCCAGCCTGACTTCCCACTGGCACCCAGTGAGATGTCCCACTCAGGCACGCTACCACTCAGTACTCCAGGAACACACAACACACACACACCACACACTCCATCCCCACCGTCACAGGGACACACATGATGCACCATCACAAGCAGGAGTCTCCCACAGTCTCCCCCTCTGCACGCAGACACACCCCCAGGCCCCGGAGGATGCACACAGCCACACAGCAGACACATGTGCTGGGCACCACCAAAACACACCTGCACGTCACCAACTCAGCCGCCAGACTGCGTGTGGGAAGCAGACACAGGGACACATGTCAACAGAGCCAGACGCATTAACACACGCCGGCAACGACACCAGCAAAGCAGCAGACATCAGCCCTCCGCCCTCCCCTCCCAACCCCAAAACACTGTCACCAACTGTCAGCACCAGCACTGGAGTGCGCGCACACACATACACACACACCACTGCTAACTCTAATCCCGCGCAGCCCAACACAGGCACACACACACACAAACACACACACACCTAAAGCACTGGCAGAAAACACTAGTCTCACGTGACTGACATAAACACTACACACACGCAGCCACATGACACACATGAGCCAGCCGATCACAGTGACAAGCCTCTCAGACCCAGCATGCGCGCAGACACACACACACACACACAACTCAAGGCTGCCAGCAACACCGACTAAACGCACTGCGTGGACCCCACGGAGCTTCTGTCACCAGTTCTCGGGCAGCCAAGCCAAGCCAAGCGCAGATCGAGACAGACCAGCCCTCGCCACACACAACTCAGACACCTGGGCAGAAGGCACAGCAGCCCTCGGCCGCCAGGCACAGCGTCGCCAATACTGGCAGACACATGCCCCGGAGTCACACGAAGACCGTCACAGACGAGGAGGTCCACACAGGCCAGACGCGGGCACATGCTGACCCCGCACACTCGGGCATCACACACGGATAAACACAGGGATCTTGCTCAAACAACACAAACACATCACAACTACATACAGCGGCAAACGCTGGCGCCAGACCCGCAGACTCAGCCCGCGACAGACAACTCTCACAGAGCGCGCGCGCGCGCACACAGACACACACACACAGGTGCACCCCACCCGCCGACGACACAAGCCCACACAGACACGCGGGGACTCACGCAGACGCCCCGGCGGGTCACGAAGCCCCACATTCCTTCGGATTGACGCTACCACTCCCTGCAGACCCCAGCACAAACTCGGAGCCAGACACTCGCACACACCCAGGCGAGACACCTGCAGATCCACAACCTCGCACACGCGCGCGCTCCACGGCGGTCCCAGACGCCCCTCCGCTGTCACAGCCCCCCCACGCCGCCACGTGCATCTGCCCCGCCCGCCAGGCGAGCGCGGGGCCAATAACCGGCTGTTGCTGGGGCGCAGCCCCCGCCCGCAGGAGCCGCAGATTCCTCGGCCCGCGAGCCGCAAGCCGCCCCCTGTCGCCGCCCCCAGCGGGCACGCGCCCTGGGTGTGGCCGCCCCTTGGTGCCGCCCCCCGACCCCCTCCCCCCCGCCCCGGCTACGGGGACCGGGGCTACCCCGGGTCGAGTCTCTTCCCCGGGCCTCACTGGCCACCAGGGGGCGCTGCCGAGCCCGCACCCCATTGTTTGTAAACAAACCCGCCAGACCTCAGAGGCACCTGTGCGCCCAAAACTGGCGCCCGATGGCCCGAGAGCTTCCCGCGCGGCGGCCCCAGCCTTGAGTCCCCAGCAGAGGTGAGGCCGAGCGTGGAGTGAGGAGCGGGGCGCCCGCGCTGCTCTCCGAGTGCATGCCCGTCACCTCCTCCAGGGAGCCCGCCCGGCCTGGCCGATCGGCTGTACGGGGAAGAGGTACGGCGCACTCACCCTCACCCCGGGGGCATGAACGCGCCGGAGGGGGCAGCGAGCGGGGACGGGCCGCTTCCTTCAGGAGGGCGCGCCCGCCGAACGCCGCTGGCCGCGGCTGCTGCTGCTGCTGAGGTTCCGGCTGCCCCCGCTCTAACTGCAGTAGCGGCTCTTGTCGCCGCTGCTCGGGCCGCTGGCCGTCTGCGTCGTACCGATCGCCCCACTGCCGCCGCTGCCAGACGCCCGCTCGCATGTGGTTCGCGCCGCGTCTCTGGCCGCCCGGCGGATCCCGGGCCGCTTGGCGGCCGCCCCGCCCCGCCCCGCTCCGCTCCGCCCCGCCCCCGCCCGGCGGGTCCCACGCCCCGCCCCCGCGTGACGCCACAGTCCCGCCCGCCCGCCGGGGACAAGTCGGGACTTGCAGGCGCGGGCCGCGCCCCCTACATCCTTGCCGGGGGTTTCCCTGCAACCGGGGGCGGGGCAGGGCCTGGCCCGCAGCGAAGAGGCGCACCGACGGACAGCCGGACACCCTGACACACTGACACACTGACTGGGACCGACAGACAAGCACGGGGACCGCACGCAGGCTCACTGGCCGGCTGACGCTCTGAGGTACACAAAGTGACATGCTGACACGGCCGCGGCCCCACAGACGCACACGCACAGAAACAAGCACACAGACCAAGTCACTAGCAGGCTCCCCTGGACACACACAGACTGGGACAACGATAGGGACACGGAGTTGCACAGACACACTGGGGAGTACATGCAGGCCCCCAAACTGTGCTCACACGCATCCCCACGAGGCAGGCTGCCACCACACACAGGTGCTGGCCCAGGGACACAGTGACAGGCTGGTAGGAAGGGGGACCTCCTAACCAGGACCTCCAACCACTCTGCTGCACACAGACAGAGACACCTGTCCCAGGGACACTTGGACACAGAGTCCTAGCCAAACCACACTCCCACAGCAGACACACAGGCACCGCACGTGCTCCCCCCCCCCAAAAAAAAAACAGTGACACTGTCAGAAACCAGCCTCAGACACAGATCACTACAGACCCTGAAGAGACTGACCCTGGTGCGCCGCACAAAATCACACCTCAGCCAGGCTCCTGCGCCCCGGCTCCCTGATGGCACACACTCTGGAGCATCCACATCTGCCCGCGCTCCCCGCATATCTGCTGCGGACCCGTGGGAAGGAGGAAGCCGCAGGCACCTGGCACCACCAAGACATGCCCGGGCAGCCCCCGCACCCAATTCCACCCTGCTGCTGGTAGCTTTCTGTTCCCTTTCTCTTTTCAGTTTCCTATTGTCATTTCCCTCCCCTCTCTGACTGTTGACCTTCCCTCCCCAGCACTCTGGACTTCCATCCAGCTTGCACTTGCCATTCCTCTGCATCTCACCCAAACCAGATCCCATCACCAGTGGGCACGTCACTTCTGCTTGCCCAGCACTGGGCTGGCCGGGAAAGGATGGCCAACAGACCCGCCTGACCGCTGGCTTGTGTGGGTCCTCAGACTCAGCCTCCTCCAGGACCAGATGCTTATACTTCCCTAGAGCAACAGCAAATCCAAATCCTAGTGTGAAATCTCCCTTTCTAAATTTCCAAGAATAATTTAGCCTCCCTTCCTCTCTCTCTATTTCTCCCAAGGAGTTGTTTTGATTTTGGTTTTGGTGCAAAGATAGAACCCAGAGCTCTGGTGTGATGTTCCATACCTGTGATCCCAGCACCGAGGAGACTGGGACAGGAGGATCTCTGTGAGTTCGAGACTCCGTCCTGGGCTACAAAATGAGTTCAAGGCCAGCCTGAGTACATAGCAGAAACCCTGTCTCAAAAAGACCACCAAAAGGGGTTGGGGATTTCGCTCAGCAACGTAAGCACCTGCCTTGCAAGCAGGGGATCCTGAGTTTGATCCCCGGGACCGATAAAAAAAAAAAAAAAAAAGAGGGAGACAGAACCCAGAGCTCCCTAAGGATAGGCACACAGCTGTGCCACAGAGCTTCATCCTGGCCTTTCCAGGTGCCTTTCAGATTGTCAGCAGCAAACAGAGGACTCTGGAGCAAACCTGAGGCTGATGCATGCTCTGCCCTGGCCATCATGGAGCCACAACACACACACAGTCTTCCTGCTTTTTATTCAAGCTTATTGAGATATATTTACACACAATGAAAGTCATTCTTTGTAGGTGTACAGTTTGATGAGTCGTAACAAAAGTGCACAATAATTTGCCATCGTGGTTGTTTATCTGGTTTTTTTTTTTTTTTTTTTTTTAGTGCTGGGAATTAAACTCAAGGCCTCAGACATGCTAGGCCACGGTCCTACCACTGAGCCACTGAGCTACATCCCTAGCCCTAGACCACAATCAATGAAAATATATACTGTTTCCATCCTCACATTTATTTCTCTGTAATCATCACTTTCTGCCTGCAGCTTTTCTTTTCTTTTCTTTATTTAGACAGGATCTTGCTATGTAGTCCAGGCTGGACTTGAACTCACTGTGAAGCCCAGGCTGCCCTCAAAATCACAGTGATCTTTCTGCCTCAGCCTCCCAAGTGCTGGAATTACAGGCATGTGTCACCATGCTCACCATTACTTATAGGTCTTGGCCACTTTTTTTTTTTTTTTTTTTTTTTTTGGTCTGTTTCCTTTTTATCGGTACCAGGGATCGAACTCACGACTGCCTTACAAGGCAGGAGCTTATGCTACTGAGCTAAATCCCCAGCCCCTGCTTTTTTGTTTTGTTTTGTTTTGTTGGCTGTTTTTTTTTTTTTTTTTTGAGGGTTTTTTTTTTTTTTTTTTGTCTTTTTCCTTTTCATCGGTACCAGGGATCAAACTCACGACTGCCTGCTTGCAAGGCAGGCACTTATGCCGCTGAGCTAAATCCCCAGCCCCGAGGGTTTTTTTTTGTTGTTGTTGTTTTCTATTTTATCGGTACCGTGGATCGAACTCATGACTGCCTGCTTGCAAGGCAAGTGCTTATGCCGCTGAGCTAAATCCCCAGTCCCCTTGTTTAGTTTTTGAGCCAGGATCTCTATGTGCTCCAGGTCAGCCCTGAACACATCATAGAGCGTGGAGCTCAGTATGAAAGTGCATGCATATCAGGGGCTGGGGATTTAGCTCAGCGGCATAAGCGCCTGCCTTGGCAGTCGTGAGTTCGATCCCTGGTACCGATAAAAAGGAAAAAGACAAAAAAAAAAAAAAAAAAAAAAAAAAGAAAGAAAGAAAGAAAAAGTGCATGCATATCAAACATGAGGTAAAGAAAAGCGAATATATATATTAAAAAATATATATATTAAAATATATATATATATATAAAATGAAGTAGGGATGGCAATATAGCTCAGTGGTACAGCACCTGCCTGGCAAGTGTGAGGTTGTGAGTTTGATTCCTGATACCAAAAAATAAAACAAAATAAAAATCCAGCTAGGTGTGATGGCCCATGCCTATAATTCAAGACAGGAACATGCTAGGCTCAAAGCCAGCCCAGACTAAATAGTGGGACCCTATCTAAAAGGAAAATTATATACTGGGTGTGGTGGCACATGTCTGTAAATCTAGTCCCTCAGGAAGCTGAGGCAAGAGGATTGCTAGAGCATTGAAACCAATTTGGGCTACATAGTTCAATGCCAGCCTGAACAACATAGCAAGACCATGTCTCAAGCAACAAACTAACTAAATAAATAACTAAAAAATAAAACAAAATCAAGAAATCAAGGAAAGTGAAAAGAATTTATTACTGTATAGTGAGTGGATAGTACATTTCAAAAAAAAAAATGTGTTTCTGCCAGCCCTGGCGGTGGATGTCTATAATCTCAGAATTTGGGAGGCTAAGGCAGAAAGATCACCATGAGTTCCAGGCCAGCCTAGGCTATATATGGTATTGAGTTCAAGACCAACCTGAACTGCATAGCAAGACCCTGCCTCAATAAACAAACAAAATAAACATTGACAAAAGAACCCAAAGATATATTTCTGGCTATATATCAAGTTCCAAGATGTTTGAGAAATATTACTTTAAACTTATTAAATGAGATCACACATGGAAGTCATTCTGTGTAGTATCTGCACACAGTAAGTGCCTAATAAATGTTTGCTGTCGTCAGTATCAGTAATTACTGTCAGGGCTGCCAGGGCCTGACCATGCAGTGTAGAAGCTGGGGGTGAGGTGGGTTCTCTGCTGGCTCCTGGTGCAGCCTGGATGTCATCCCCACCAGCTGGGGCCCTCAGGTTGCCCAGTGCAGGACCCAGAGACCTGCTGGAATATAAGCCAGCCACCAGGCCATACGCCCCATAATCCTAGTCTGTAAGAAGGCTGAGGCAGGAGGATCACCTTGAGTTGGAGACCAGCCTGGGTGGATAGTGAGTTCAAGGCCAGCCTGGACTATAGCAAGACCCTGTCTCAGAGAAAATGCATGGGACAGACTTGATGGCCGGAGGTGGCAGAGAGGGGAAGAGGCCCTTAGAATCATCACAGTCCAAGCCCTTCCCACTACCTGACCCTGCTCCAAAGCCTGCCAGCCTGTTGCCCTAAGCTGGTGGCCTCATGGTCTAAGGGCATCAGTAATAAATGAGCTCAAGGAGTTCAGTGGGAAGTGATAACATGGGAACTGGGGCTGACTGGCACTGAGCCTTCTCTAGAGCCCTACAAATTCAAATTTAAAACCCCATGCGTAGTGACATAAATTTTGTGGCCTTAGGATCAGAGGGAAACAATAGGCTCTCTCTGTTTGCTTCTACCCCCATCTCATTTTTACTGTCTCTCTCTCTTTCTGACTCATTCATTCATTCATTTTTGGAGCTGGCCTTGCTATGTACCTCAGGCTGTCCTTGAAATTGGGGCAATCTTCCTGCCTCAGCCTCTCTGGTCCAGCCTTAACAATATTCTTGAGGGATCAAGGGGCTTCCTTGTTGCTAGAGTTCTTGGAGGAACATTTCGGGCCTCTGGCCAAGCCTGCCCTGTGCAACCCTGCCTCTTACCACTGCTCCTCTGAAAGGAGACAAGGATTCCTGAGCTCCTAGGGGTCATAGGTCCCTCTGCTAGAGGGTGACCCACAGAAGTAAACAGAGAGAGGCTGGAAGCTTCCAATGGGGGAGGGGAGGGAATTCCACAGAGCCAGAGAGACCAAATCCTGGGCAAAGAAGGGGGCAGGGCGGTGCCTGATGGTGGGGACTTTTGAGCTTGAATGATTCTTTGTCTTAGGAGCTGTCATGGGCATTGTAGGGGGCTGCATAGAACCCCTGACCTCTCCCTACCAGATGCCTGAATCAGTCCTCCCCTTTGAGTTAACAACCACATCCCCAGGTAGT